GCCGTCCGGAGCCCCCCACCCCTCATCCCGGCGGCGGCGGCCCCGGCCTCCAGGAGCCCTCGGGGGTTCCCGCCCGCGGGAATCGTCACCTCATGAGGTAGTCCCGGAAATCCTTGCTCCGGACATAGTCCGCCGCCTTCCGCACCAGCGCGCCCGCCATGGCCGAGCCGGACCCCAGACAACGAACAGTGCCCTCGCCGCAGCTCCTCGGAGCCCAATGACACCCGGCCAAGCGGACACAGCGGACACCGCACCCGCCCGCCGGCCGCCTTACGACAGCTCGGCCCCGCCTTACGGCCGCGGCGCGCCGCCTGGCTCTCGGCCTATGGGAAGGCGGAGGGTGGGAGCCCACGGAGCGGATTGGCTCGCACGCACCGCACCTCTCCCCGCCCCCCGGATGCCGTACAATGGCCGGGCCGGCGGCGATCAGCAGGCGGTTGCTAGGCACCCGCGGCTCGAGTCCTCTGGTCGTGGAGGTGACATTCCGAGACGCGCGGCCCCCAGAAGGGCCCTGCGGCCTGAATCTTGGGTCGGTTTTTGCAGCGCCCGGGAACCCCTGCACGGCTGCCCGGGGCCAGCAGGTTCTAGACAGAGAAGTGGATGCAGGGAGAAGCGAAGTAGGGCGGCACGCAGCCTCTGTCCCCAGGCAAAGGTTGCACAGTCCGCAGGCGTGCACATCAAGGGGAGCCGGGCGGCTCACCGGCGCACCGCGCTCGGATGCACTGAGCCAGAGGAGATAAACAGGGGCGGTTTCTGTTGTTTAGGGTTTTTTGTTATTAATTTTGTTTTATATTGGCCCAAAATGTAGATGAGTTGAGTCGTTTAAAATGCCCTTGGTAAAAATATGGGGGACTCTCGGACATAGCTGGCAGGAGGGTAAATTGGGATACAGACATCTCTTCAGAGGGTGGACTCAGCAGAATGTATTATCGTTAATAACGGACGCCCTTTGACCCAGCAAGCCCATTTCTACAGATGTATCCTAGGATAGTCAAGCAAGTTTGTGCAATTTCACATGTACAGCATTGTTTTGAATACGGAAGGACTGGAAATGATTTCTATATCTATCCATAGGGAGCGAGTTAAGTAGATTATGGTGCATCCATTCAATGGACTACTTTACAGCAGTTAAAAAGAATAAGGGAGCTAACTCTGTGTGTGTTGATATGGAAAGATCTTTAAGATTTATAAGGAAAACATTAAGGTGCAAAATCCTGTGTAAAGCATGCTACTCATTTGTGCATAGGGACAGATAAAATACAAATTTATGTTTGCAAAGATACAGAAGAAATGTTAGCAGGGTCTGCGTCTAAACATTGTTAAAGAGGCAAGGGATGTAAAAACTTCACTGTATACTCTTGTTACTTTTGCAGTTTGTAGAATGAGCATATGCTATCTATTCAAAATAAATGACATTAAAGAAGAAGAAATGCTTTTGAGAATTAAAATAAGGAGCCATTGATTGACTCAGATTCATTTTCTGCTAGGATCTCTATGGGCCATGACTGACCTTGATCTTCTGTGAAAGTGTATCTCAATACCCAACGTTGCAATTCCGTGATAACGCCAGGAAAGTTGTTATATTCTTCTGGTGCTTCATGGTGGAGGTAGCAATGTCTGACCTAAAGAGAAGCAAAGGGGTCTTATTATCAATAATATTAATCGCTAACTTTTTTGACCACTAGGCATTTTTTGGACATTATTTCTCCTGCTCATATCAACCCAGAAGGTGGTGTAAGTAAACTGGATGGCTTGAATAAAACCCAAACTGCTTTGGCAAGATCGGTGGAGAGGGAGCTGCGTCCCCCACCCCCAACCCCCACCACCTCCCCAATGTGAGAAGGGGCTCCTGAATCTCATTGTGTTCAGTCTTAGCCCCTAACTTTTTTCTCTCATGAGCAGTGGTTCTGAAACTGGAGCTGTCAGAAGATATATCTGCAGATTCTTAGACCCCAACCTCAGCCTCAGGAGGACTGGAGTAGGGTCCTGGAAGATGTGTTGTTGACAAGTGCATGTGTGGTTCTGAGGCATCTGGTCAGCGACAGCACTTGGAGAAACACCACTGAGGGAGCTGCCCCGACGGCTGATGTCACCACCGGGCCTGCTTCTCTGCTTTCCACGTATGGGCCTCAGTTGGACCTGTCAGCCTTCCGATTTAGTTTCCCATTGCATGGAGCAGTGTGAGCTGCAGGATTTAAGTCACGGAACATATCAAGGGAATAATGTCTTGCTAGGTAGCTAACCTGGGATCTGAATCCATTTCTCTTTTACTCTGAGATCCGTATATTCCCACTATTTTGTGCTGTCACAAAGGGAAGGACTTATTTCATATGAATGTGCATCTTTGCTACTTTAAATATGGAGCAGGCAACACAGTCTAATGTACAGAGAACATGATCTTAGATAAGGAGCCCAGCTACATTATTTCATAAAACCTCAAGAAGGCTCAACCCTACGTGCTCCCTACATGGACAGTGGGTGGAAGGTAGAAATGCAAACGTCACTGGCTACTTTGAATCCCAGGTTCATGGGAGTGATTACAAAGGGCTAGCAGGGAGCCCTTGGTCAAATGTATTAAGGAAACTTACTTCACTCAGACAAGGTTATTTCCTGCAGCTCTTCTGAAAGCCTTTATAAAGCTCATGTGAATTGTGATATTATAAAAGAAGATTATTCTATGTAGCATTTCCCAAACTTCCTTAACCATGGAGCTCTGTACGAAGGAGCATCTAGTGGCTCCGACAGCCCAGGGGTTCCAGTAGCCCTGTGTCCACACCCTGTGAGCCAGGGTGTGGCGAAGGGACTCAGACCTTCCAACCAGGTGAATTAACCCCCCCCCCCAATTTTTTGTCTGATGACATTTGGCAACTTAGTCAAATTCCCTAGGCCTCAGTTTTTTAATCTATAAAGTAGAAACTGTAAAAAAAATATATAAAAGGGACATCATGTCCCACATAAGAGGGAAAATGATTTTCTTGGTGCTTTAGGCCACATTTAAGCAACAAGAGACCCAGAACGGAGGAGGCTTTACATCATCTTCCTGTAAGGGCACACAGCTGCTAGTTTCTGGAGGTTTCTTGTATGAAGTCTCAGGGGCCCGAGTGATCATCTCACCATGTGGAGAGCCATTATGAGAAGTGTGGAGTCATGCAAAATAAACAAAATTTTGTAACAGCAAAAATTCTATAAAAACAAACAAAAAGACCTGTGAAGTAGGTTTAAATATGATGTTCAGAGTTGAGTTGTATTTCCAGGCAGAAATTAAGTAAAATGAGCCAGACACGAAGAACCACCTGTGTGGAATCGTGTGATTCCACTTCCATGAAATGTCCAGAGGAGAGAAGACCATGGCGACAGTAGACAGATGGGTGGCTGCCCTGGGAGAGCTGGACAAACAGAAGACTGCTACTGGGTACGGGCTTCCTTTCCGCGTGATGAAAACAGCCTAGCATTGGTTGTAGTGACAGGTGCACAACTCTGTGATTATGCTAAAACCCATTAAATTATACACTTAAACGGGTGAATTGTGTAATATGTGCATTATATCCCAATAAAGTTACTCAAAAAAATTTAACAGGTTAAAAAAAAACCCCAACAACTTCAAAAAAGATGCATACAAAAGCAAATAAAACAAAATCCCTGAGACTTTTTTGTCATAAATCGATGTACCAACCATTGGTAGTTAAAGGCAAAGCATGCTTATCTACATAAACCATTGCAGTAGGTCGTAGTGATGAAGGAAAGCTCTTCTTCTCAGACTAAGTTCAGAGGTAAAGAGGAAGGAACGGTAGAATTTGAAGGACACCAGTTTGTAATCCCTCGTGAAGTGACCGATGCAGACAGAAACCACCAAGGGGTGCTGACCCTACTCGGCACATGAGTGGAGCCTGGGTGCTCACGGGCAGAAGAGGCCCCCCCCAGGGGTTCTGTGCACATTTACAAGGAGGGATCAGCTGGCGACCTAGTATCACTGCTGGACTCTCGGTGCCTCCTGGGCCATGCAACATCAGGTAAATAGCACCACGGGGGGACCTGCCACCCCACGTCTTGAACCCCAATCCAATTGACCCTGTAGTTCCATCCACCTCCAGGTCACAGGAAATGAAAAGTCTGCAGGAACTAGTCCAAGAAAACTCTGAGAAGTAATCCGACATGTCCAGTGAGTGTAACATTTACTAGGACAACAGGACAACCAAACGCCTCTTCCACATGCCCCGACATGAAGGAAATGAACTGTCCGGCTGGGCCCTGCCCCGCAGAAATGTGACAAGAGCCACACGCGGGACACACGTTTTCAGTAGCCACATTGAAATGCGAAAAGAAACCAGTGAAATTAATTGTAATAGTCGATTTAGTCCAATATATCCATTATTTCAGTATGTAATCAACATAAAAATTATTATTGAAATATTTTATGTTCTTTTTATACTAAGTCTTCAAAATCTTACAATTCATCTCAGTTCAGACGCCAAACTTTCACTGGCAATGCTTCATCTGTATTTAAATTTCATAGAATTTACAGTTTAAAAAGTCTATTCATTGGACTGGCCAAGTGGTTCAGTTGGTTAAGAGTTAGCTTAAGAGCATGAGCTCTGAGCAACAGGGCCGCCGGTTTGATACCCACATGGGCCAGTGATGCGTCACCCAAGCTAAGCTGCTGCTGAGCTGCCAACAGGTGGCAGGATGGCTCAGCTGATGAGAGCACGTGCTCCTAACAAGACTGCCTGTTTGATGGTGGGCTATGCCCACCCAGAACTAAGACTAAACTCGGCACCTTGAACTGAGCTGCCGCCCAGATGGCTCAGTGGATAGAGCGTGTGTTCTTAACAACAAGGCTGCTGGTTCGACTCCCGCATGGGATGGTGGCTACGCCCACCTGCAACTAAGATCGTAACACAGTACCTTGAGCTTAGAGACCACGAGCTACCCATAGGCAGCCAGGTGTCAACAGGCGCCCTCCACAACTAAGATTGCAGAACAACAACTTGGCTGGTCCCTCTCCCCAATTCCCCAACACTGTTCCCTTCCCCCAATTCCCCAATTTAAAAAAAAAGTATATTCACATACCCAAGGTATTCTAAATATACTGAAAAGTTTCCCAGACTGAACTGAATACCCCCAAACTCATTTTCCTTTCACGTTTGCATTCACATTGACAAAACTGTTTCATCTTTTTTTTTTTACTTTGAAGCAGAAGCAATGTCAGTTTCAAAATGACATCAGCTCAAGTTAAGTAAACTCACCCACTTTTGTTGCAACCAGTTGTGTTAACATTGAACTTGAAGCTTAGTTACTTATTGCACAAATTGAATGGCATCACTTCAAATTGGGGGAGGGGGCAGTTTTTGCAGCTAATGTACACAATGCTGTTTATTACAACTAAATGTTCTGCCTGCTCATGTTAGAAAATTGTGACTGTTGATTTGTATTCCAAAAATTCCAATTGCAAATAAATTCTTCTACCCATCTAGCTGGGTCACAAATAAGCTTTGAAAGGAAGCTTTCAAGCTTCAGGTTTAGCTCATCCATATGCAGTGTGATATTGGTGAGAAGAATTCGAGGTCAGACAATTAAGTTCCCAAAGTCATCCTAGAAAAAGTGCTACCTACCTCATTGCTGAATATCACCATCACCCTCAAAGTACTCCCCCTGGGAAGCTATGCACTGACACCGGGGTCTAGTCCACCCTTCAAAGCAATTTTGGAACTCTTTTTCTGGAATGGCCATCAGAACTGTTGTCATATCAACCTTAATGTCCTGAATGTCATCAAAATGTCTTCCTTTTAATAAATATTTAGCAAACATTTGGCAAACATCCCCTTTGTTTCAAGAAAGTCTTGAACAGAAGGTAAAGTGGGAGTAAATCTCTGTAAAAGTCTTCCAGGACTCAAGTGACAGGCTTGGATTTTTCAGTAGTTTCAGGAACTGGTGATGATTTGGACCCTTCACTCATATTTACCGAACAATTGAAAGAACTCTAGCCATGACCCTCTCCATAGTGCCTGCCTCAGAATATAAATATTTTCAATATGTATCACATAGTGGAACGAAGCAGTAACAGAAACTTCAGTTTTAAGATTCCAACAAACCCCGATTTTCAGCCAACAGAGCTAGAGCGCTGTGTATTGGGATAAAAGTTCCTTTTTTCATCTCTAGCTGACACTCTAAAAGACTCAGAAATGCCCACTCCGTGGTTCTATTTTTCAGGTCTTGGGCTGGCAACGTTTCTTTGTACATTTGAAAGTCTGGTGTTGGCTTGGGATGTGGGTCTCGTCCCGAGCAGCCCTGCTGTTCTTTAGTCGTTTCTATATTCTTCCGTGTTTGGGGTGATGAGGTGTGTTTCAGATCAGTTTATTATTATAACTTCTTTGAAACGAAATGATGTTTCAAGCAGTCAAAAAATGTCTGTATATTCTGAATACATAATGTTGGCTTAACACGTTTTTCATTACGGTGATTTTCTTTACCACAAATTGCAGGCCTGTCCTGCTATTCTGTGCCTGGTCGGACAGTTTACACATCATTTCCTCCCAGAAAGCATCTTCCCGGTCATGGCGGTTGTGCCGTTTTCCTCTTGTGTCACCTGCATTACCCCAGCAAGCTCTGCCAGCCTTCCATGGCGGCACCTCCTCTTAGTGGGCTGGAAACTTGAATTCTAAGGACGTGGTCTAGGCCTTATTTTCTACAACGTGATGTAAACCATGGTGATTAAAACAGCCAGTTGAATAGTGGCAAATTTCAAGTGACTACACTGTGAGGGTAACACTGTCACACAGGTTAAAACACAGCAACATTATGACACAGAAAAAGGTGAGTCCATTTCTGCAGAAACCTTTCCCCCACAAAGTGGGTTAAAATTTGACTGAGGTAAGTTTGTGTACATGACCCCAGGGGGACTTCCACGTGGGCCAGGCGGCTGGGACCTGCAGGGCAGTTCCGAGCAGCGTATCTGAAAGGTACTATGTGGTTTGTCCTCGTCCACTCTCTTTAGCCTTCTTCCTCGCTTTAAAAGAGAAGATGCAGCTAGACAGAATCCTATGCTGATTAAGCAAACCCAAGCGTCCTGGGTCCATTGGCCTGAATGGGACATGTCAGCAATGTAAGTTCCATGAGTGAGAAAGGAAGTGGTGTGGCTGGCACCAGCTGTGTCCCATGCACAGTCACACTGTCCCCCGCAGGAGGCAGGAGTAACCCTCCCGCTGGTACGTCCTTCCTCGTTCATGTCACAGAAGCCCCGGGGTGATGATGGTCCTTGTGCAGCTTTTCATGGCCATGGCTGGAGCTGGGATGAGAACCTCGCATTCCAACTGCCAAAGTGAAGCCATTTCCTACTTTCGCTTGGCGCTGGCGCTGTGTGTTGAAAATAAGTTTTCCGGTGACTTTTGGGGTGGGACGGGGAGCAGGGGGAAGGGAAAGTGTTTTGTAATAAGTGAAACCAGTTTGGGTCTTATGTGTGGGTTCCCACCCTCGTCTGCAATATGGTCACTCCCGCCCCATAGTTCAGTCTCTCGTCTGTGCCCCAGGCGGTGTTGGCTGCCTCCCAAGGGTCAGCATTGTGTCTGGGGTTCAGGTCAGCACAACAGATAAGGATTCTCCTGTGGTCACAGTCCAGCCAGAGAAACATGCAGAGGGTGAGAGGGCAGAGGGAGAGAGAAGAGTGAGAAGGGAGGGAGGGAGGGAAGGAGAGAGAGAAAGAGAAACAGAGACAGACAGAGACAGAGGGGGATGGGAGAGGGAGGGGGAGAGAAAATTAATGCCAGGCTATGCTAAGTGCCCGGAGGGAGGTCAGCCGGTGATGGGTAAGGCAGGACTTGGACAAGGTGGGCCGGGTGCTGGTTTGGGCGGGATGGTCAGAGAAAGCCTCTGAGGTGGCGAGGCCTAAATCACCGGCAGGACCAGCCCTCTCGAGGCCTGGGGAGGAGAGTTCCAGGCAGGGGGAACAGAGCAGACCAGGGCTCCGTCTGTCCGAGTAACAGTTCCAGGCAGTGTGAGGGTGAGCAGGTGGCTCAGCCCCTTGGTATCATCCCTGTGGCCTCAGGGCTGCTCTCCTGACTGCTGAGTGAGCAAGCCCACCGGCCCGACCTGCGCTGCTCCCGCCAGCAACAGCACCAGGGCCGGCCCAGGGCCTCATCCACACGCTGAGCACACAGCGTTGTTTCTGACCAAGAAGCTCACAGCCAAGGTGGTGCAGTGGGCTGATGTCTGTGTCCCCTCAAATGCATTTGCTGAAGTCCTACCCCCCACGCGGTGGTATCTGGAGGGGGGCCTTTGGGAGGTGATTAGGGTTAGGTGAGGCCATGGGGGTGGGGCCCCTTATAAGAAGAGACCAGAGCCATCTGTGAACCGGGACGCAGGTCCCCACCAGACACCGAATCTGCTGGCACCTGGGTCTTAGCCTCCCAGCCTCACAAAGGTGAGGAATGAGTGAGAGGGGGCGCCTCCTTCACCTTCGGAGGGTTCCAGGGGCCTTTGGCGGAAGTTGATTTCCGCCCTCCAGTGGCGGGTTGTGAAAAGTGCAAAACACAGGTAGCACCTTCCAGAGGAGGCAGTGACCTTTCTGGAAGAAGAAATGAATGATGTGGTCAACCTGCCACGGTCAACAAGGCCATCTCACCCCCTGAGGACACCAAAGCCCTATTTAGAATCACATATGGTCACATCTGTAGTGTTGGCCCAACGTGGGTCCCTGTTCATTCCCAGGTAATTGTTTGCCAGGCTTGCGCTGGAGCTGGGAATAGAAACGAGGATGCCTGCCGTCAGGGCTGTTCCAGGCTCGGGGGAGCAGTCGGGGCCGGAGAAGATTTTATGGAGACAACGCCTGAGCTGAAGGTAAAGGACCCGGGGGGCTTAGTCCGCTGGACAGCACCCCGATAATTTTAGGAAACTCTCGTGACCAAAACTGCATGGAGGCCTGCCTGTAGTACTTGGCACCAAGTAGCTGAGGGTAGGTGCTGGATATAAAGGAAGTTATGGTTACAGCGGGTCTGAGGTCCTTTACAAATAAGCATTGTCTGGGGCCCTACTGTGTGCCTGATGTGTGTCTGATGGCACATACGACTGACTTGATGTGACTGTATCAGGCCCAGGGGACGGCCAAATCACCTCTGCATTTCCTGCAAGGTAAAAAGTCTTAATGTATTAGAGTTCACAGAGAAACAGAGCCAATAAATCTATCTATCATCTATCTATCTATCTATCTATCTATCTATCTATCTATCTATCTATCTAATCAATTATCTATCTATCTAATCAAGCAATTATCTATCTATCTATCATCTATCTATATCAATCACTTATCTATCTATCTATCTATCTATCCATCCATCCATCTATCATCTATCCTATCTATCACCTATCTATCTACCTACCTACCTACCCATTTTGCTGGCAGGCTGGAGACTCTGGTAAGAGCTGATGTGCGGTCTTGAGTCGGACGGCTGGAAACAGGCAGGTTTCTATGCTGCAGTCTTGAGACTTCCTTTTTCAGAATTTGCTCAGTGTTTGCTCTCGAGGCCTTCCACTGATTGGACCACCTCACGGAGGGTCGTCTACTTTACTTACAGTAAATGATGCTTCCCACACTGATTTCTAAATACCGTTCCCACAACTATGAGAGTTTGGGCTCTGCTGTTTTCCAACCTCCAGTTCCTACTGTTGGAGAAATTAGAGGAACAGGTGAGTGGAAATAGCAAAGAGGCTAAATACGTGTTAGAGGAAGTGGATACAGTCTATAGTCCCTCACCCGAGATGCTTGGGGCCCTGTGTATTTCAGAATCCACAATATTCTGGATTTTCGGAAGACACTGTGGTGCAAATCCTGTTGTTACATTAGAGTCTCAGTGTGGTCTGTGGCTGCGCCTTAGAACCCTGCATTAAATATCCCTGCAGGAAAACATGAACATCCTGCATGAAACATGCCTGTTTGTGCAAACTAGGGTAATTAGAATAGCTACAGACATCAGTTGCCCCACAGCAGTTCAGGTCCGGCGTTGCTGCTGTAGAAGAGGAAGCATGATCTTATCCTGCCTTCTGGGTTCCTGGCCGAGGTGCCCTGTAATGAAGGAAAGGTTCGCAAGACAAAAACAATCTGAAGTTTAATAACGTGTACACTTCTGTTTCTACGGGAGAGACCCCAGAAAACAGAGTCCCAAGAAGGCCCACACCACCCCCTTAAATACCATCTTCAGCTAAAGACAAAAGAATGATGTTGGGGAGGGGACGCCAGCTCCGGGAGGCCAGGAGGGAAGCACAGTGAACAAGGGTAAGGTTGTCATGCAGATTAGGGCACTGCCTTGTCCACTGAGGCCTCTGGGGGTTAGTCCCCTTTCTCCTCCAGGTACAGAGAGGGAGACACCCTGACAAATGGGGATTTCCTTTGTAAATGTAAATGTCCCCCACAAAAGGGTAACTTCCACTGTATTTTGAGAGCTTCTCCTGTGTCTGCTATTACTTGAAAATCGCCAGCTCAAGTGAGCGTTAGGCCAAAGAGGCGTCACTTGGTGTGGCAAGTTCTGCTCCCTTCATGCCTGTCTTTGAAACTTTCCCAAGAAGCTTCACAGTCACTTATTTGTAAAATACGTCTTATCTTATTAAATTTGGCCTGGTTAGTGGCATAAGCACAGCAAAAATAGTAATTGACCATATAGGCTCTTTTTAAGTCTGCTTTGCTGGAATTTTCCATATCAAATCTTAGATTGGACTTTTAAAAAAGGCTATCCCTGCCCTGCTCCTGCAAACTCCTGCCCCCGCAGCCCTCCTCCTGTCCCCCGCAGCCCTCCCCCTTTCCTGGATACCCTCCCCTGTCCTGCAGACCTGACTCGGGCCACCAGCTCCTTCAATGTCCGTCCTCGTGGACGCTCCTCTGACCCCATCTGGACTTGCCCACCACGCCCTTCCCCCATGTCCCACAACACTCTGCCATCTGACAGGCTACATCGTTTGTGTCATTTATCTTGTCAATGAAAAGTGCCTATGCAATAAACCTGTCCAGCTCGGGGGAGAGGTGGTCGCATGGCAGGCCTAACAAGCTCAGCGACTGAAAGTAACCACACAGAATGGTCTGATCACAAATTCCCAACAGGGCAGGTCATGGCGGGAGGTCACAGGTAGCAAAGGTCAGCCTTTACCTTACCTGAGCCCTGTCTAAGTTCTTAAGCATCTAGGATAACATATCAGAGTACTTTCCTTTTCCTCCCCAGAACCCCTCACTGTTATCTGGTGCGCGAACACCATCTCTGTGCTGTAAATGTTGACTATTAACCATCCCGCACTCACCCCTGCACAGGAAGCACGTGTCTCTCCATTTTACTTTGTATCCAATTCTAGGGATTCCCCACTTTGCTTTCTCCTGCCCCCTTCACCTACCATCAATGGGTTTCATGTACCTTATGTTTTCTACTTTGATTCTAAATGCATGAAAGCAACTGCAAAACTGTCCTTCTCTGGAGAGTTGATCTCAGTCCCTCAAGGCTTTGTTTCCGGGGACGTCCTCAAATTTTGGCTCCAATAAACTCTTATTGGACTTTTCTATAGGCTGGATGTTCTTTGGATGACAGTGTGTTTGCTTCTGTCTCCTCTCACTAGGACAGAAGCCGATGGAATAGCAGGGAGCCTTGCCAGGTCTGTCACTGTGGCTTCTGTGGTGCCTGCTGAAGAGGGGGTGTCAATACTTATTTGTCTGAACGAGCGAATGGCTGGGCCAGCCGTCCCCCACGGTAGAACCTTTCAGACTGCGGGCCAGGGCCCTGTCTTTGCGGGACTCCCACTGCGGTGTGGTTTGTCCTTCTAATGTTCCCAGCAGCCATCCTGAATCCCCAGGCCCCAGGCCAGAGGGGTGCCACACTGTGCCGCTCTAGAGACATGGGGAGACACACAGGTGACCCAGAGCTGCCCTGCTGTCTGCAGTTCACACAGGGGCCCTGGACGGTGTTGGAGGAAAGGAGTGTGGAGACCACGAGAACTTTGGAGCAGCTGGACTCAAGTTCCAGCTCCATGCAACGCGGTTTGACCTACCTCCTGCCTTCTGTTTGTTTGTCTAATGCCTCGAGCTGCTGTGAAGCCGAACTTCACGGTTTCATCATTAATCTTCTCAAAGGTTTAGAAAATTCAGTTTTCACCCCTGTTTACATCAGAGTCTTTTAGTTTGGGTTCAATGTGACTTGGCATTTCTTTGGATGTTTGGAGATATTTTGTCAATAGGCTCGACTTTATGTTGTTAGCAAAACTGAAGGCTCTAAAAATATTTTTAAAATTTATGTGAAGAGCCTAAATCTGATCTTAATTTCTTTTTTAAAAGAAAAATCTTTTCTTCAGTCTGAAAACTCAACTTTTCAACAGCTATTTAGGACTAGAAGCAAAATTTGATTGATCCACTCTAAGTCCTTCATTTTAAATGATAAACAAGCCACGTTCGAAAGCCCAGTGTTTTCACATATCTCCCTGTGATCCGAACTTCAGGCGTCACATCCATCCCTCAGTCCAGAGTGGAGCCCAGGAGAGCTGAGAGCCCAGTGAATCGCATCCTCTTCCCTCAAGAGGAAAACACGGGTGGAAAACTTCCTGGGCAAGTGCTGAAATGAATGGGGCTCCTTGTCCACGACAACGTCTGGGCTGGAACCACAGCGGCCGTTCAGGAATGCGGCTTTCTTGTCTGAGCTCAGGTGGGACAGAAACTGCATATTGAGACTTGTTTTTCTGCCAAATATTTATTTGATGTTTTTCCTCGTCGGAGTAAAGTGACCAACGTGAATCTGAATGCACAGATGTCGTAAAGGAGTGCTTTTGATCTTAGGTCCTGAACAGAGGCCGTTACTGGGAATTAATGAAATAAAACCACGAAGGTCGTGGGCTCGGCACTGACAGGCCGGCGTGTCTGTCGCTGAGGAGGGCGGGCAGATCTGAAGGGCTGGCGAGTGGTCCCACCTGCGTTCCTTCAGGCGCTCAGGGCCTGGGGACCTGCTGTGGACACTGGCCCTGACCTGGTGCTCGCCTCTTCCCGCTGGAGGACCAGCCCCACCACAGACGGCCTGGCTCTGAGGACAGTGGTGGCCCACGGTCCTCGCTCCGGAAACATGTTCTGATTTAGTGACTCTGCCAAGAGGGCTCATTTGTTTAGCCTGAGTTTCCACATTGCGAGTTTATTGTCACCATGTAAAAACGCCGACACATGGAAGACGCTGACGCGGTGCCTACCTGTGAGGACGGCGCCTTGTCCCTCGTGTGGCCAAGTGAGCCAGGCCCTGGGGACAGGGATGGGGACGGGCCCACTGCTGCGGGTGGCGCAGCCGGGCCGATGCAGGCGTCCGACTCTGGATGCTGAGTCATGAGCGGCATTAGAGCCCACCCTGAACTTGAGCTTGGCTCATTTTACCTGGAAGGTCACAGGCCAGATAAGCAGTTTGCGGGGCCTGAGAACGGGCGACTCGGGCTGCCCTTGAACCCTCACCCGCCTGCTCCCCTCCTGCTCAAGCTCTTGGGAGGCAGGTGTGGCTAAGGCCTGGGTGGTGTTGCTTACGACCAGCGACCAGCTGGATTTGAGATTTGAGACTATGTATTCAACGTTCCGAATGACAGGTGCCCAGGAGACTATTCTAAGTCCCAAAACAGATGGATGTTTCTATCCTCAGGTGCATTTGTGACTCGCTGACACTTGAGAGCTAGCTGACAGCCGCACAAGATAAGGGCAGCAGCCCACGAATAGGCCAGCCTCCTCTCCCTGGCCTTTCGGTGGTCTCTCAGATGACACTCACTTCTGCATTTGGGGACAATAGATACAAAATGGAGTGGCTTATTGTTAGGAGGCAAATCCCCACGGGTCTTGCATTTCTGCACAGCTTCTCAAGGATGTTTGCACAACACACAGTATAGGAAGATAAAGACCATGTCCTGCCTTGGGGCCAAGGGCAGCCCTAAATGTTTGGGGATTCCTAAATCGGGGTGCCCAGCTGTGACATAAGCCCACTGTCCATTCATCCTCCTTCTGGGCCTCTCCATCACCCTGAGACCTGGGGGGTGAGGGGAACGGACGTGTACAAGGGGTCACGCTGTCTGTGTGTACTCTGCCCACAGAGCTTGTGTCTTCGTCGGACATCCAGGGGCTGGAGGGCAGACCAGCTCATCGTCCTGTGAGGGGGCAAAGCCTCAGAAACGGCACAGCTCTTGATCACATCTTTCCCGAACCACACACACACACAGGCTGAAAACCGTAAGCAGGTCTGTACTCAGCTCGACGTAGTATGGTAGACAGGATAACAGGCCCAAAAGATGTCACGTCCTAGTCCCCAGAACCTGTGAATGTGTCAAGTTACATGGAGAAAGGGAACTGAGATGGCTGAGTTGACCTTCCATAGCGGAAGTGTCCCCGTGTCCCCGTGTCATCACAACGGTCCTTAGGAGTGCAGGAGGAGGCAAAAGAGGGGTGAGTGACAACAGCGGAACTGGCCTGCGGTGCCTGGCTCTGAGGAGGGAGGTGGGCGGGTCCCTCCAGGAGCTGGGAAAGGGGGTTGTGCTTCTCCCTGGAACCTCCAGAAGGAATGCGGTCCGGCCCACGCCTTGATTTTAGCCCCAGGTGCAGACCACCTGGTTTGGACTTCTGACCTCCAGAACTGTAGCCTAATGAATTGTTTCATGCCACCAGGTTTGTGGGACATGGTCATGGCAGCAACAGAAAACAAAGCACGTTGAATGGAAGGGATGTTTTCCCCAGTTTGCATCTCTTTCTGTTGGCGCTGTCCAAGCGGGAGCCAGAATTGCTCGGGCAGTTGTTCTTGGCCCTGAAAGTCCCGGGCGGTTTCAATGCGTCTGCAGGTGCAGACAGTCTTGGGTTTCAGGGACAGTCCCTCACTCTGCTGGCGCAGCACCCAGGAACCTAGGGCACAATGTGTGTGTGTGTATGTCACTTGGTGACACAGCAGGTTAGGAATTGACCAAATGGGAAGAAGATGGTACGTTGGAGAGCCGCAGACCAAGCTCAGCTTCTTGTTTTATTTCTGTATAAAGAAAGGATGGGTGGGTGTGTGGGGGAAGGTGACACAGAGGGGATGGCCCCCAGCAGCCATCCCTGGGCCGCCTGCTTCAGCACCAACACCACCATCCACTGTCTCCTGCCCTGCCCTGTCCCATCACACAGCCGGGCCCTGCATGCACACACATGTGTACACACCTGCTCTCATGCACACACACACCACACATATACATTACATACATGTCCACCACACAGGCATGTGCACACCACCATGCGTGCACCACAGATGCACACACATACACACCACACAGTCTGTTTCACAACACATACACAAACGGGCTCATACCACATACATGCACAGCATACACACAAACATGCACACACCAAACATGCTCCCACATCACATGCAAATACATGCTCACATGACACACGTGCACACAGGCACGTGCACACACACACACACACACACACAGTGCTCCCCACCTGCCTCCCCCAGGGAGATGCCATGTCATAGCAGCAGAGGCTGGCAGCAGCCCCAAGATGGGAAAGTAAGGGGCTATCTGCAGACTATTATTGGTGACAGTATAGAAAATCCAAAGGTTATTGTTATGCTAGAAAAACATTACACTTCATAAAACCCGTGTTTATTTAAAAAATCTATTCAGAAAGTCTGGAAAGCGTAATAAATATCTGTACAGTGGCCGCCCATCTCAACATAAAACAGAAAGCATGAACACAAGAATAGCCTGTAAACATCAACGCGGCTTGTAAACAAAGTGCTGA